AGTAGGTACATTTTATTATTTTAATCAAGAAGTACAGTTTAATAATATTTTATATTACCCATGGTTGCCATTTTTACCTACTCGTGAAAAGCAATCATCTAAGAAGTAAGTATCTACATTTTTTTTTTTTAAATGTGTGTTATTACAAATTAAAATTGTATTTATTGTTATTGTTAGTATATCGCTTACTGCTTCAGTGTCACTGTGTTAATTATGATTTTATATTTAAGTTTAAACATTTATTTATTTTTTTTTTTATTATTATAAAAGCCAATAGTATAAACTATGATAGCTTGACAATTACATAATTTAATTTAAATTATTTTGCTTGTTTGCTGATTGATAGAATTGTTACTATATTTTAATATTATTTTTAAATAATATTATTTATAATTACAGTGTCTGGTGAATTAAAAGATCGAGATCCTGCATTGAATGTCAATGCATACAATCTGATTGCTAATAACTTTGGCCCATACCAACCAAAAGATATTCAGTTTCCACGAGTAAATGGTAGTTCTAGATAATTCAGGCAAGATTGGTATATTAAACATGAGTGGCTAGAGTACAGTCCAATTAACGATGCAGCCTTCTGTTTTTATTGTCGATGCTTTCCACCATCTAATAAATATAATGAATTAGCTTATACATTACATGGTTTCAAAACATGGTCTAGAGCGACAAAATCATTTAAAGATCATGAAAATAGTGCCTCTCACAAAGAAGCTAGTGTTAAAGTGAGTGGATTTCGTTCAAGTAAAAAAGTTGGGAATATTGCATCGAATGTAAGTACTTATTATAAACAAACTGTTCAGAAAAACAGAGAGTACTTGACATTAGTTTTGGATAGTTTGTTGTTTTGTTGTCGCCAGGGCATAGCTATACGTGGCCATAATGAAAGTGAAGATTCATTAAATAAGGGTAATTTTCTTGAACTTTTACACCTCAGAGCTAAAAATAACAACATTTTGCAAGAATATTTTTTACAAAAAGAACATCATTACAGATATACCAATGGCACTTACCTCAATGAATTTATTGATATAATGTCAAGTCAAGTTATTAGAAATATAACTTTAGATATAAGAAAAGCTAATATATATAGTATTTTAATCGATGAAACTCAAGATCTATCGAGACATGAGCAAGTTGCTTTTATTATTCGGCATGTTGATGAAGTATTTGAACCAAAGGAGGTATTTTTAGGGTTCTATAAAACAAATCGCACTGATGGAGAAACTCTTGCTAATTTAGTTAAGGAAGTACTACGTAATAATAATCTACAAATTGAAAACTTACGTGGACAGTGTTATGATGGTGCGGCTGCCATGCGTGGGCGTTATAATGGTGTACAAGCGAAAATCCGTGAAATAAATCCACTTGCGATGTACGTGCATTGTTATGCTCATATATTGAACTTGTGTCTAATTGATTTAGCTAAACAGTTATCTTATGTCAGAAATACTTTTGGATCTTTACAGTCTTTACATAATTTTATTGGAGCTTCGTCAAAACGCAATGCTATTTTTGAAACCATACAGTCAGAAACTGCTTGTACAAGTAAATCAGTGAGTCTCAAAAGTCTTTGTGAAACAAGATGGAATTGTCGCACGGATGCTTTAAATTCTGTATTTACAAATTTTAGTACAATAATTAATACTCTAGAACATATTTCTGATAATGACATAACTCCGGATCTGAAGCTAAATCATTACTAAATAATATACAAAACTTTGAATTTATATTCTGTTTGATTGTTTTAAAGGATATTTTGGAATATACAAATATTTTGTCAAAATATTTACAGTCTGTGAATATTAATTATGCTACTGTAATTGACATGTCTAATAGTACTATAAATATAATAAAACAGATGAGATCAGAAATTGAATTTAATAAAAAATGGAATGAGGCAATGGAGATGATTAAAACAAATAACATTGATTCTCCCAAAATACTTCGAAATAAAAATGTTCCATATAAGCTAGGTGGTGGGGAAAAGGGACCTCAAACTTTGAATTTAAAAGATTATTATCGTATTGAAATTTACTATCCAGTCTTAGATATCATAATTAGAGAAATGCAACAACGTTTTCAAGAAAACCAGCTAGATATATTAAATGGATTAAAAGAAATAATTGTCAATGATAATCCACCACACGAAGCATTAAATATTGTTTGTAACACCTACAACTTTGATTTAAAACATCTGAATACTGAAATTGAAGTTTATAATAGAATGTTTAAGTTGAAATACTCTAACATAGAAACAACTAGTACTATGGCAAAGAAAATAAAATTTATTAAGAATGATGATTTTCAAAATGGATTTCCGATTTTAACATCAATTATTCGTATATTTCTTACTATACCCACTACAACTGCCAGCTGTGAAAGATCATTTTCATGTCTAAAAAGACTTAAAACTTATCTGAGGACCACAATGGGTCAAGAACGATTAAGTAATCTTGGTACATTACAAATTGAAAAAAAAAGGAATATCAATATAGAAGAAGTCATCGATGCATTTAATAATAATTCCTCTGTGAATAGCCGAAAATTAAGTTTAAAATAAAAATATTGTAAATTATAATATAAATAAATAGTAACACTTGTTGAATATACTTATTTATTTAATTTTAATGTTTTTTCTTTTTGCAACACCAAAAATATTAACTAAATTACGCCACTGCATGTAGTTATAGTAATAATGATACAAGTATATTAGATTTTCTAATGGCAGTTAACCACAACATTAAAAACTCCATTCTACTAAATCATTTTTAAATTTTTTAAACTTTAAACATTTTTTTAATTATGTACAAATGACAAAAGACAATTATTGCACATTGCGACTATACTTGTATATTTTATAAGATTAATGTATGGAATATTATTTATGGAATGATTTTTCACTCTGTTATAATTAATTATTGTTTAATGTCATATTACCAGATAAATTTTTTTTTAAATAACTACCTTTATGTAACTCCTTTTTAATCAAATAAATGTACCGATAAATACCTATAGTAAATTAGATGCATAATAATATAATAAAATAATTTAATAATTAATAAAATAAATGTAATTATCAGGGCTTGAAACCGAAATTATTTTTTTCGTTTTCGGTTTCGGTTATCAGTATTGATTTTTTCCGATTTCGGTTTCGGTTTCGGATACCGGTATTGATTTTTTCCGATTTCGGTTTCGATTTCGGATATCGGTATTTATTTTTTCCGATTTTGGTTTCGGTTTCGGATACCGGTATTGATTTTTTCCGATTTCGATTTCGGTTTCGGATATCGGTATTGTTTTTCTGATTTCGGACACCGGTATTGATTTATTCCAATTTCGATTTCAGTTTCAATATCGGTTTCAAACCCAAGATTATTTTATATTATTTGACATATATCGCGTACTCACCAATCGCCATACATCGCGTGGCGTACGATTTAGCGTCTGGTTGTCCCACAAGTAGATAGAAATATCGAATAATAATAAAATAGATTATAAGTACATACTATAATATTATCAATGATAATATTTTCACTAGTATGGTTACGTAATTATTACGTATATAGTTAGCCTCTCCACTTATCAACACAACTTCCAAATGATTTGCAGCCTAATTTTTTTGATTTGTAACTTCATCGTTTATAAGTTAAAACTATTTTGTAATTAGCCATTAGTAATTATTTGAGAAAATATAACACTATTTAACATTTAATTCGAAAATGTCGATGGCTTAGTGTGCACACGTCTTGTTAAAACTTAAAAGGCCTGTCAGTGGCCTGATCTAATACAGTATGGATAACATACTGACTTAATAAGATTTGAAATTAATAACTTTTTTGTAATTAGAATTTTTTTTTCATATAATATTTATCATTTGGTCTGTCCTAACAAGTTTGCCTATAAGCATTATTATTAAGTATGATACCTATTAGTGTTGTAAATTAGATATTTTGGTCACGTTAAAGTATTTATTACAATTTTTATGTAAATGTGTCATGTATGGATAATGGTTGGTAATCTATGAATAAGGAACCCTCATACCATGAAAACAGTTATTATAAATGAATGAAATATAATATATATCATAGTTTATTGTTAATTATTTGTTAAACTTAGTATTGCTGCGAACTATCATGATAGCATTCAATTGTTCCGGAGACAATGAAGTCCTTAAATCTGACAATATGAATTTTAAACCTGAAAAACTTCTCTCGACACTGACCTGTAAAATAATTAAGACATAAGCAACAAGACAAATTTAAAATGAAATTAATTTATAATGTTTACAAAATATTACGAACCTGAGTGGCAGGCACAGCATGCACAATACAGGCTAGACGGTAAAGTTCTGGTTTATTTAACTTTTCAGTTTCCCAATATTGCATGACTTGTGATACATATGGCTCACGTTTAATATTTTTAAAACTATTTAAAATTGTTTTTATATTATTATTTGTGTTATCGTTATCACTATGCACACTTGAGGATTGTGAAGACAAGAACATCTCAAACTCGTCTTCATTATTAACATCCGTTGTTTCAAATGTCTCAGCATTATTGACCACTAAACAAAATAATTTTACATATTTCAGTCATTAGGTACCTACCAAGAATATTATTCTTTATACAATTATGAATTAACATCAAATGATTTTTACCCAGATCTGAAGTATTTAAATTAATATCTTCATCTGGTTTACATAATTGGAGCATAGAATTCCATGTTAATATTAAATGCTCTATGGCATCCTTTATTTCATTTTTGGTCAATAAACATTGATATCTCGGATCAAGGAAAATTGCTATAATGAAAAAAAAAAATGTTAGCTGTTTTGTGTCTTTACATTTTAATGCACACAAATAAAACATAGTAATATTTATAAACATTTTCACTTTATTATATTTGAATCAATCACAATCACTAAACAATATGCTCATCGGCAGTTATAAACAATGACAATAACAATTTAACTGGCATTGGTAGACGACCGTTCACCACTCACAGTGTCACCAACACCACAAGCTGTACAGTAAGTAACTATCAAAAATAATTCAGTAAAATTAATACAAATGGTTAATTAAGTTTATTTCTACTGTAGGTTATAATTTATCATATAATTGTGGTTGTGTTCAATACATTTAAATAAAAATAATGTTTTTACTTTTTACTTTCAAAGATTAGGTACAACACACACAATATACACCAATTTTAAAATTAATATTATTTTATTATGTATCTACCTACCTATAGGATGGGATTTGGGTATGTCGGGGGCATACAGTATTTTTTTTACTTATTAAATAACATTTAGTACCTATATTTAGTAGTACTAGTAGTAACAATTAATTACCTATTAAATAATAAATGATCATAAAAACATCAAATCGAGTATAAGAAATATCAGCATAATGTGTTTTAAATTAGAGGATGACCTTTCACTACTGCTGTTTGTAATCATAAGAATAAGATAAATTCAAAGAACTATTTAAAGTATTTTAAACATTAGGAATTTATTTTTTACCTGCCTACAAATAAATTTTAATACACATCAATAATATTAGATAGTCTTTATCTAGATACTGTTCATACAATATAATTAGTTTGAGTAATTTATTTTAAATTATTGGTAGGTTTAACAATCATATAACACTGAAGCTTATTTTTATTCAATAAACATACCTGCTAAAAAAAACATCATTCTTTAACAAAATCGCCTGACGTTCCACCATAGCCTTTAAAATTGATCTAGATAGTATGGAACCATTTGATTTCAGACCATTAGAGGCTCTCCACCAAATTCCAAAAAAATCTCCTAAATTCAAGTCTTGTTTCTGAAGAGCTAGTGTAGCAATCTTCACAGGTTTCAAAGCTTCAACCTAAATAGTGTAATAATTAAATTATTTATTTATTTATATAAAAACAATGGAAACATTTAATACCCCAACTTATGATTTAAAAACAATATTCCACATATATATTGAATTGGAATAAATATTATAAAATTAGATTAAATAACTTACAATGCTTTGAATACACTCCCACTCACTATCTTGAAGTTTTAACTCCAAATTTGTTTCATCATATTTTTTACAAAATGGTTTTAATTCTAATAGTCTAAATAGCATATTATATAAAGAATTCCATCGAGTTTCATTATCCAGAATGGCTAATTTAAAATCTTCCCTTGCCAGCCAACAGGAATACTTAGGAATTCTAAGTTTCTTTACAACCTGTTTTAAAAAAAATGAATTATATAAATATTAAATATTACCAAGGAATGTTTGTAACTTTGTAAGTAAGTATTAATATTTAATTATCAACTATTCAATATTATTACTTACATGTCTAGCCCGTGATACAGTATTCATAATTGGTGCAGCTTTAAACCCTTGAAGTATACACAGCTGCAATGTGTGTACTGAACACCGCACACAAGATGTAATTGGGCTGAGGGAATAACAAACATTGGTTTCTAAACGTTCAATATTTATACTAATATCATCTGTGTAAAAATAAAATAATAATTTAACTATGAAGATTAATATTTCTAATAAAATTAACTATCTATATTAAATCATTTATATTACATACCATTGGTTGATTGTTCATCATTTTCAAGTTCATTTTCAATATCGGCACATGAAAGTGGCCCTCCTTCATTAATGTAAACGTCAGACTGATCATCATCAAAGCTACCATTATCACATTCTTGTTCATTTATCTCAGTCGTTACACATATTTCTGATGTTTCATTCACTATTCTTGCTAACTTCACCATATTTGCTGCGTTATCACAAGTAATTGTATATATTTGTTCTTTTTTAATATCATATGTTTCCAGTATTTCAAAAAGCTAAAATAATAATTAAAACATTACAAGATATAAAATACTTAAAGCCTTTTAATTATTACATTTACCAATTTTTTTAAATTTTCTGCCGTATGTTGTTCATTAACCTCTACCATGGCTATCGTATATAAACATAATTGAGTATCTTTAATATACTGGACATTAACGCCCATAATTGAACGACTATGTCGCTTAACACAGTCTATTTTTAAACTGATAAATTGGTTTGTTATATCAAATTTAATTTTAGCAATTATTATAGCTGAAGTAGATAAAATATGGGATTTGATATTGTGCGGATTTATAGTAAAACCTAAAATAGTTAACAAAAAATAAGCATATATAGGATTAATTTTATAATATATTACAACTTGATCAAAATTATTTAATTACCTTCACCAATAGCTTGAGTTAGAGGATTTAATATTTTCTTAAACCCAGAATCATCAAATATTGTAAACGGACGACCATTTACGGTAACAAGTTCTGTACAAGCTTTTAATAATGTACTCTTGTCTATCTTAACATTAATACTTCTTTTTGTCACAATATCATCCATCGGACCACGTTTCTAAAAAAGTATTATAATTAATTAGATACAGGACCTGATTTAAAGATATATGGGCCCTGTGCAGTTTTAACTAGGGTGGCCCTTTTTACCAATAATTTTAGTAAAAATAAAAAATAATAATACATAATATATAAAAATGATAATTAAAAGTTTAATCCTTATATGACAAAATAAAACTCATATATTACAATACTACTCTTATAACAATACACACTTTTTTCTAGTCTTTTTTGCAATTTCTGTAATTATGTCGTCAAATGAAAATTGTTTTGTCACATCATGATTTTTTTTTTACTTAAGTACAATATGGGAAGAGGGTCTAAGAATTTGGGGGGCCTGTGCTGAAATCTGGGCCTGATTAGATAGGTGTATTATTTAAAACATTCAAGTAATAATTAGCATTATAAATATATTAAAAGTAAAGCTATGATAGTATGATCAATATTTTCAAGTTAATGTAGGTACCTATAGGCTATAAGTTATAACACATACAATCAGTGGCGTGTCGAAGGTATTATTTTGGAGCAATTGCTCCTTCAAAATTGTTGGTTGGTGGTGGTCCCCCTGCCACAAAATACCTAGTCACCTAGCCACTTATGTGACTAGGTATATCCGACTATAAAAATTGTTACAAATGTACGTATATTTTGTAAATTTTTAATTTAAACTTTTTTCTCCTCACCAAAAATGAGTTCAACACACCACTGCATACAATCCTCAATAAGTTCCATTAAAATATTAAAATATTTAGTATAATATAGTTTGATAGTTATATAGTAATATATTATATAATTAATTACCTTTAATGACGGAAGTGCTACATTAGCATCATCAAGTGGACGTTTTTCTTTGAGAATAATTTCATTTTTCATTTTCTGTAAGATATTATATTCTTTGTCGTGGTTACATCTGATGTGATTTTCAAGATTGTTGCTATGACGGCCTTTTAATATAGGTCGCCGGCACTTTTCAATAGTGCACGTCGATTCGTCCTTTTGAATATCATATGTAAAGTATAACTTACTTACAGGATTAGTCGATTTTCTTCCCATTTTAATAAGTAACAAAGACACAAAGTACAAACAGTGTATGCCTAATGTTAAGAAGAGCAAAGACCACGAGAGACGATAGAGTAGCACGGATGTCTAAATGCCTACGAATATGTAATAACTTAATTGATCGCAACTAGACGGTATTATCCAAATGCCAATCACAATATGATCACAATTGTTGACTGACAATCGACAGAGACCACTGACCAGTATGATTAGTGGTGGGTTGGGAAGGGACACATTTTTCAGTCGATGGCTTTTAGGGAAACCCAGACAATTATGTTATAAGTATTAATAAGTTTATAACATTTATTTATACCTAATTTATAAGTGTACTATATATTATTATATGTATAGTACTATAATATATACTCAGTATCCCATAATTTATTGTTTGCGTCGCGGCGATTGTGTTAATTTAATGTAGGCACATGGTTATTTCTGATCGTCTGTGGCGGCAGAAAAACACGCAGCTTATAATATTATTATAGTTATATAATAATACTGTTGTTGTTTTACAATTTTTATTATAGCGTAGGTATTTCTGCGTATACTGTTCTAGAAGAATTTATTAATCTATTTACAAACATAATATAATATAATATAATACGTATAATATTTTGTATACTCAGTGGAATTACCTATGAAAACATAGGGGTGCCTGCAGACGACGACTACAACTGCAGCGGTGCAGCTATACCTTCAATCTTAGGTTAGGTTAGGCTAGATAAAGATAAAGATAAAGAATAAATATTTTATCTAGATAAAGATAGAGATAAATAAATTTAATTTTTATCTAGATAAAGATAATTAAACAACCATTTTATCTAGATAAAATTAAGATAAATTGTATAATATGAAAATTTATATTTTTTCGCAATGGATATTTAACTGTTCTATTTTCATAACCAACACAACCATAGAATTCAGTGTCCTTTTAATAGAGCAGAGAGATCTGGATGAATAATAAATATAAAATAGGTATTAATTTTAATTATTGTATATAAGGGTAGAATAATAAATCACAGTTAGTAACTTACTATTTATCTATTCTGTGCTACTATCTACTACAAATCAAGTCTTATTTTTAAGGTAGAAACAATAGTAAAACTTTCATTTAAAAGAACATTATTATGTTATAATTAATAAACTTTCAAATCATGTGAAAAAATCTTTTAATTTTAAATTTTAATCAACACAATATTATATAAAAATAGGTACCTGTCGTACCTGAAACATATTATACATATTAAAAACTTATAATTAATAAACTTTTAAATATAATTGCATGTGAAAAAATCTTTTAATTTTAAGCAACACAATATTATATAAAAATAGGTACCTGAAACATATTGATATTATACAATATACAATATATTAAAAACATTTTTAAAATAGCTTACTCTTACTACAATTTATTTATTAATTTAATATAATTTAATAAGTTTTCTTTATATATTTGAAGAAAAAAATCATTCAGTAGACTTACAACATAAAAGCATTTCAAACACATCATCACTAAGACGATTTCGTCTGGGAGTTAACACCTGTATGGCTTTGCTAAACAATCTTTCAACCGGAGCTGATGACGGCAAGGTCGTGTTATACTTAAAAAATATTTGCTTGACAATAGGAACATAATTAAGTGACATTACTTCTTTTTTCTTTGAGTTAAGATATGTCAATGCTTCAACACCAGCTGTATTTGAAACACTTGTATCAATTTCAGCTGAATCACTATCTTGCGCGGACGGATGAAATGATGTAGTTAAATTTCCAGATAAATTGCTGTAGAATTCATCACTAGAATCACTGTCTGCATTATCAGATGCAGATTCAGATACAGAGCTTTCATCTTTAAATTTATTACATTCATTCAAAAATAATTCCTTACATAAACTTATATATCTTACTGGAACCCAGGACATTTTAAACTTCGGATGACTTATTGAGGCAAGAATAAAATCTTTGCTTTTTGCATTACTTAAATCATAAATGTAGTTAAATCTTTTTTCTAGAGAACTTATTAATGCTGAAGCTAATGGTTTGCAGTATTTTACATTACTTGATTGAATTAACAATTTTCTCAAAACTATTAATGTAGGAGCAACATAGCCTAAATAACTATTTTTCTCTCCTTAACTTGTCCAATGAATTTGATAATGGTTTCATCAAAAGACAGTATTCCTCCATAAATAACCACTCACTAGGTTTGAGCTTATTTAACTTTAAAACATCAAATAAAATATTCAATTTATTTTTGTGTATTAACATTTTTTGAGTAGCATCATATTTAGAGTTCCATCTAGTAATAATTGGAATTGGAAACTTACAGTAACAATGTTCATAGACTTTATCAGAGGCTACTGAACTTCTACTAACTAGATTCCAAAAAGCTTGTAGTTTGTTAAAAGTAGTTTTAGATAAACGATTATAATTGTCATCAGAAATTTTAGAAATATCTGTGGTAGCGATCAAATTTAGAGAATGTGCTACACAAGTCATGTGTTTTGGTAGACAATAATTATTATAGTTTCTATGTTCATTAGTATTGTAATAATTGGTTAACACTGAACCAACATTAATTCTTTCAATATCAGGACAGTTGTTTTCATTATCACTATCAGAGTCGTGATTATAATCGATTGCACACTCGGTGTCTGAATCATCAATAGTAAAATTTCCAACATCATATTCATTTGAATGTTCTAATACATTATTTGAAAAAGTACGAAAACATTTTCCAAAGTTGGTAGCATTATCTGTTACAATATATGTGATTTTGGAATTATTTAAATTGTATGTTTCCATTATTTCTGTAATAACTTTAGCAATATTTAAGAAATCATGTGTACCTTTCATTCTCCTGTATCCAAGAACATAGGAATGACGATTTGTGTAAGATTCATTATCAATAAAATGACATGTCATACCCATGAAGCTTTTATTGTTGGCAGTCCAGATATCGGCGGTGATACAAATGTATGACTGTTTTTTTACTAGTTCTGAAAGTGTAGTTTTGTATCTTGTATATCTTTCTTTCAAATCACTAGCTAATTGTTTTCTATTTGGTAATAAAGCAGTATCAGTAATTCCAGACAATTCCATGATTAACTTTTGAAAAGAAGGTTTTTCGCATGTAACCAGAGGTTTCATTTCATCAATGATATAATCAAACACTACTTTATTTATCTGAAACAAATATTAATGCATTTAAATAACATAGCATAAATGATTTAAAGGCATAGGTATTAGAATATTTATGTTTCATACTAATCATACTACATTATGATTACTAGGGCTAGGAAAATGATGCTCTAAAAACTTACCATTAAAAAATTACCAATAATGTTACAAAAAATGCATTTTAATCAGGAAAATGCAACTAAAAACTAAAAAGACATGAAGATGTAAAAATTTAGCTGAAAATCATTTTTAATGTCAAACAATTATTTATTTAACACATTTTTATGTGTTCAAAAAAAAATTTAATTGTTAAAACAACTAAATACAATTGAAAAAAAAAAAAAATTAAAAACTGTTTTATTGATTTTAGGTACTTGTTGATTAAATAAATATTCAACTAGACAATAAGATAGTATAATTTTAAAAATAAAATATAAATTTATAAATAATAATTTAGATAAATATATACATTGTACTTAAATGTTCTAAAAATAATGAATATGTATATAATTAACAAAAACTAAATAAAAAGCTTTAAAATGACACAAAGGTACTAAAAAAGTATTTATTTACAAATCTCATAAGAAAAAGCAAAAAAAGCATAAACAAAACTGACAGTTTTATTTTAACTGTATATTTGAACTCTGTGAATTATGATGTATGAATCGAATTTGGTTTTTGATTAGCTATGTCCTGGAATACTATGAAAGAAAATGCAAATGCTACAAAATCCTAGCCCTAATAATTACCTACCTAAAAATCCATCTATTTATTTCCAAATCAAAAGATTTATTTTTTAGATTTTTAAATACCTATTTTTTATCAACAATATAATAATTATCATTCAAGTATGAAATAATGTAGTTATGAATGTAATGTTATGTAATCTATGAATAAACCATTATAATAGTTATAACTAGTATAAATTATAAAAGTATTTAAACACTACGCTAATACAATAAAGAAAAAAAAAGTTTTTGAATACAGATATTCAAATACTTTATGCTTTTGCATAAAGTACCTACTTATAACTATAATATTTTTATTTCATTTGTAGGTAAAATGCAAAATAAATAAATAAAATGCTAATATTAATTATAATTAGGTAGGTACCTATATCATAAAATAGTGATATATAAAGTAAATAAATGCTTAAGGTCTTGTATTCATTGTAAAATAATAACTTACTCCAAAGAATATTTATCAAATAATATATTAACTTTTAATTTTGTATTTGTTAACTTACAGGATTGTACCCAATTAATAATTGAGTACAATTCAAAGTACCTATTGAAATAGTTTAATTCTGTTTCTTACAAGTTTATTGTTTCAAATACAATTTTTATGTCTCTTAAATACCTATGATTTGATGAGTTCAATAACTTTTAATAACTTTTAAATCCTTAACTTAAATTAGAAATGAATAATTTATAGATACCTGTTGTTTTGTAAGTTTTTTGGTTGGTCGACTAAGTACATTTGTTTTATTTGATCGTTTCGCATTGCTTCGAGCCTCTTGTACTTGATGTAATAATACCTGATGTTTATGCTATAAATAAATAATATATAAAGTATACATTAATATAGGTGAACCATAGGATTTAAATAATACATTTTATTTAAAATTATTAAAGCTTTCTATATTATATTTATGTGTATCAATCAAGGTATTAATAATTACTTTTAAGTGGCTTAGGAAATTTCCGATTGACATTTTTTGACCATGAATTATTTTTGAGCAGGTCATTATTTTCAAGCGGCGAAGGACCGTAAAATCTGTTTCCGATGCTTGAATTCTACTCATTGGTCGACTCGCTGTTTAGCGAAGACATGTTCCAAGTGTAAGGGTTATCATCATGTTCTTCTTCATCGCGATTTTGACGCGTCACGAAAGCCGTCATCTTCCACCGATCATCCTCCAGCCGTCCACATTGGGTCACTTGATCGGCCAACTGTTTTACTTGGGACCGCTCTCATACATGTCCGTGATTACTGCGGTCGTGCTCAACCAGTCCGCGCATTGATCGATTCGGCTTCACAGGTCAGTGTCATGACCTTGGCGTGCGCGGATCGCCTGGGATTAAAACGGTCCAAATGGACAGCACCTATAACGGGTCTTTCCGGTGTTCAAGTCCCTAAATTGAACGGTGTGGTAAAATGTACCATCGCACCGCGGTATGATGATAATACAAAAATCCAGGTAACAGCTTGGGTCCTGCCCACGATAACTACTCACATGCCGTCTCGTCATCTGCCCAAGCACTGTAAACACCAATTTTCGCATTTGGCTCTAGCTGATCCTAGCTTTGATCTTCCGGCACCTGTTGAATTGTTGTTGGGAGCCGACGTGTTTTCCCAGATATTAGACGGAAAACGCGTGGTCATAGACAAGTCGTTGCCCACTGCATTCGGCTCTTTATTCGGGTGGATTCTGATCGGCCCTGTCCCTGATCACGAGCCCGATCGAATCTGTTCAAATGTTGTTTCACTCACGGTATCACTCGAGAATCTAGTTGAACGTTTCTGGCGTGTCGAAGAACCTGACCCTGCTCCAGTGATGTTCACTGATGAAGGCAAGTGTGAAACTATCTACTTAACCGAACGTGTGCGCGATGATAGTGGTCGATTCGTGGTTCCATTGCCCTTCATAGAATCCGGCAAGGAAGAACGTTTTCTAGGATCTCGACAAATGGCTTTGCGTCGATTCCAAAACCTAGAGCGGAAACTTCAAGCTAATCCAGCTTTGAATCAAGCATACACAGCTTTTATGAGTGATTATGAATCACTAGGGCATATGTCTATCGCTTCTAGTCCTGGTGATTACTTCATACCTCACCATCCTGTCTTTAAAGGTGATGTTGCAACTAGCAAAATTCGAGTGGTATTTGATGCTTCGGCCACTACTTCATCCAACCGTTCCTTGAATCAGTGTCTTTTAACTGGTCCAAAGCTTCAGCAGGATATTGTTGATATCATGCTTCGATTTCGTATACATCAATTCACCTTCACAGCAGATGTGTGTAAAATGTATCGACAAATACTGGTACTTCCACAATATCGGACATACCAACACATCTTATGGCGTGCGTCACCGTTGGACGAACTTAAGGAGTACCAACTGAACACGGTTACTTACGGAGTGAACTGTGCTCCTTACCTAGCGTTGCGAGTTCTGAAGGACCTTGCCGACAATTGTTGTGCAGAGTTTCCTGGTGTCAAACAGGCCTTAACCTACCAAACTTACCTTGACGATATTTGTGTTGGCGCCGACAGCACAAGTCAACTGTTGACATTGAAATCTGACTTGAAATCTGTTCTGAGTACCGCTGGTTTTGAGCTGAAAAAATGGTCTAGTAATGACCCTCAGATTCTGGCTACTATTCCACAAGATGATCGTGTCCAAACGATTTTACAGATCGACGACCCTGAGGCAGGATTGGTCAAGGTTCTCGGTTTAAATTGGGACTCTTCCGAAGATACATTTGGTTTTGAAGTCTCTTCTTCGTGTGATGTCCTGACCAAACGCGCCGTTCTGTCAACCATTGCCAGAATATTTGATCCAATTGGCCTTATTGCTCCAGTAGTTTTCTATGCCAAGCATATATTGCAGAAAATCTGGAAGGCAGGATTAGCTTGGGATGCGCCTCTTCCGTCCGACTTGACTGAGGATTGGAAAATCTTTGTCCAAGATCTCCATACATTGACTAAAGTCAAGATTCCGCGTTTTCTGGCTACAAAAAATGGTTCCCATGTCCAGCTCTGCGGCTTTTGTGATGCTTCAGAGCAAGGCTACGCAGCAATCGTCTATCTTCGTTTGATTCAGCCAGATGGATCGGTCTCCATTTCCCTTCTAGGGTCCAAGACAAAAATGGCGCCCATGAAGAAGATCACTGTACCTCGACTTGAATTGTCTGCTTCTGTTCTATTGGCGCGATGGATGGCTCGCGTCAAAGCGACACTTGAACATCAACTCGTTATCACTAATGTTGTTGCCTGGTCTGACTCACAAATAGTTTTGTCTTGGTTGATCAATCCACACTCTTTGTTCAAAATATTTGTCTCTAATCGAGTGCACCAGGTGCATCAACTGTTACCATCGTGCAAATGGGGATATGTACGAACTGACGATAACCCGGCTGATTGTGCTTCGCGCGGAATGCAGCCCTCAGCCCTTATGCAGTTCCCCCTGTATTGGTATGGGCCTAAATTCTTACGTCATTCTGAAGATACCTGGGACCTTTCGCCTTGTATAATGTCCTTAGAAGAACTGCCTGAAACAAAAGGCGTTTCCTTAGCTGTGCAACTCGACACCGATGGCGAATGGTTCTCACGTTTTTCTTCATACACCAACATGCTCAGAGTCGTCACATGGATGCGTCGTTTTATCGGATTATGTCAAGGTAAGACTTATTCCAATGCCTGTCTATGTCAATCGGAATTGACTGATTCCCTAACAGTTCTTGTCAAAGCGTCTCAATTACAGACACTGGGGAAATTGCTACACAATTTGCAGCATGATCACGCGCCACCTCGAACGTTTGCAGTGCTCCGCCCATTCATTGATCCTTGTGGCTTGATTCGTGTCGGTGGTCGTTTGGCACATGCTGATTTAACAGAAGCTCAAAAGCAGCCAATATTACTGTCGAAGACATCTTATCTTTCATTACTTATTGTCCGGCATTGGCACCTTGTGACGTGCCATTCGGGACCTAGAGTTATAACAGCTTTAATCGCTCGTCAATTTTGGATTGCGTCTGTGCGGTGCGTGATCAGGAAAGTCATTGGTTCATGTACCATATGTGTCAGAGCAATTGCTCAAACTCAAACTCCTGTCATGGCTGATTTGCCCGCGGTACGTGTTCAAGCTTGCCGACCGTTCTCCCGTGTTGGGATTGACTACGCTGGTCCCTTGCCAATGCGCGAATGCCGCTTGCGGAAGGCAAGACAATATAAAGTGTATGTCGCTGTATTCGTATGCATGGCCGTGAAGTCGGTGCATTTAGAAATAGTATTGGACTTGACTACTGATGCGTTCTTGGCCGCACTCGATCGTTTCGTTGCGCGACGTGGTCTTCCGCACGAAATATTCTCAGATTGCGGGACCAATTTTGTTGGAGCGTCAAAACAATTGCGTCAATTAGTGAACCATCCTGAAAATCATCACAGACTGTCTTCCCACTCTTCGTGTACGTGGATTTTCAACCCACCAAGTGCTCCGCACTTCGGTGGATTGTGGGAAGCTGCAGTACGCTCGTTCAAGACTTTGCTAACCCGTGTCATGGGTAGTCATAACCCGTCACTCGAGGAATTATCTACCATTTTATGCCGCATCGAAGCGATCTTAAACTCGCGGCCACTCACTCCGATGTCATCGTCGCCTCTTGATCTCGACTACTTGTCTCCGGGGCACTTTTTAATTGGACAACCTCTGCTCGCTGTTCCTGAACGTCATATACCCGAGGACAGTCGGAAAATTGTCAATCGTTGGAAGTTACTTCATCAGTTTCATCAGTCGTTTTGGCGTCGATGGTCCAGTGAATACCTGTGTTCATTACAGGCACGAACAAAATGGACAAACAATGTTCCTAACCTCAAAGACGGAGACATGGTCGTGATTAAAGACAACCAGAGTCCTCCTACAGCGTGGCGTCTAGGTCGGGTCTTGAGTGTCATGCCTGGAGCTGATGGCGTTGTGCGTGTAGCTAGAGTGTTGACGGCCCAGGGTGAGCTTACCAGACCAGTTGTAAAATTGGTGCTGCTGCCCACAGAGTAGTTGCCTTTTTTGAATGTGAGTAATTTAGTGTCCCATGTTGTTTATTTGTGCTTGCTGTGTCAGGGTAATTGAGTTATTCTATTCATTAGTGTCTGCCTGCTGCTCACCAACCATTCTGGATTGTCAGGTTGACCACATCAATTCTACTCAGGGCACACCCTGACAAACCAGGTTAATTGTTAAATTTTGAATTTTATTCATGTTATTACTCATGTGTTATTTATGATTTCATCACTTGTATTGATAATCTCAATATTTTGAGCTATTGTATTATTATCTTATTATTTTTTTTCCGTACCAATGTCAGGCTCCGCGACCGTTGCTCGTTCTCAATCTTCAATGTTCCAGCGCCCGCCACGTCTCATGAAAACCAGGGCTTTTCATTGGGGGAGGATGTTCGAGCGCCGCAGCCGATGCATAGCCAATGCGCCTATGAACCGGTCGTGCCGTCCCCCCGCCCGTCTAGCATGCTGTCACCGATAAGTGTTAACGCACGTCCGCCGTAGACTCCGTGAAACGTTGACCTAGTTTGTTACCCAACGACCTTTGTCAACGTACGGTCCGTCGTTGTGTCGTTGCGCTGGCCGGCTTACGGTTAAGCGTTACCTGTGCTTTTGTGATCGCGACTTTATTTGCCGTTCACGCGACGCGTGCCGCTATATTAGCGCCGTAATAATAGTATTATAAAATATCCGTTGCCGTAACCTCCATAGGTTGTGTCTCGCCGCTTCGTTAATCGTATTATTGTCTTTGATACGGTGCCCGGTCGTCCGACATAGATTATATTCACGTGCTGTTCGTGCGACCTGTGCTGATATTGTTATACGGCCGCTGTTTGGCAAGCAGCTGTGAATCGCCGGTAATACGCGTGCGTTCGGTTCTGATTAAACCGAACCCACATCTGTAGTCTCTGTTATACGTCATCTTAGCCGCCGCACCCAGTGACGAGTGCTCCGTGTGGACTCAACCGTCAGTGGTCATATTGTCGCCGTACCTGTTATCAATTCAGAATTGGCAACCTCCAAGTGATCGCCAGCGGTCGCAGGAGACGCGCGTAATTATTATCATAATTTCTTGTGTTGTATTATTATTTATCATAATTCGTTGTTGATTATTATTATGTTATTATTTATACCTTGTATTCCTATTGATTGGTACTGAGGCGCCGGTACCGAATCACTAGCGATTGCTTATATTATTATTATTTCTTTTATATTTCATCAATAAATTATTGTATGTGCCTTGCCATACGTGCACGTTATATATCTCAGAGTATAGTTGATGAGGTCATAGTCTGACAATCCTAACATCACATTGGTCCTGGTTTCCTTTAAACTGTTGAATTTCGTTGATGTAGTCAATGAGGCCGACCACTAAAACCGTAGGAGCCTCTTGACTAAACATTTGACAAAGGTCGTTGGGTAACTAACTAGGTCAACGTTTCACGGAGTCTACGGCGGACGTGCGTTAACGCTTACCGGTGACAGCATGCTAGACGGGCGGGGGGACGGCACGACCGGTTCATAGGCGCATTGGCTATGCATCGGCTGCGGCGCTCGAACAAATATTATATTATTATATTATAATAATACTATATTATTATATTATAATAATATTACAAATAGAAAATTATGCAATATTCGTAATTAAATGGATATAACCACGAAGACATTGCCAATTGCCATAACAAGCAATGATGATGCATTGAACACAGTATCGATAGTTAATATCGATAGCTACTATCGATAGTTACTATCGATATTTCACTATCGTTTTGGCCCAACCTGTAAATGGTGGCAGACTTCAATAATAATTACAAGTTAGCTATCTAGTTATTATCTATATCTGTGGATAATTGTCAACAGTTTATTTATATTTATCTAGATAAGATAAAGATAATTTTATTATTTATCTAGATAAATTATCTAGATAATCCCAACACTGACTATATCGTTCAGCAATATGACTGCTGAGACAGGGTATGACTCATCGCAAATTCACGCAAGTCCATGATCCTGTCCTTATTATAAGGTATACCTTTGCGGACATCGAACCTTTTCGAACGATAACGGCACATGTATTAAAGACATAGTCTTCTGTGGTTACAAAAACGACGAAAACATTGTGATAACGGCTTCTACATTTTACGTAAAACATTATAACTGCACAACAGTAAACGATAATTAGAAATTAACATTTTCATTATGTTGTAAATTTAAACTAATATTATACACAAACGTATTTCCTCCAATACACATAATACCAATCGCGGTATCACATCCACCGATGACCCGTAACATCGTTATTTTGATAACAATATCCGTACTTTTATTAT